TTTTTTTTTTTTTTATTGATAAGCCAAAATCATGCCCATTTGGCTAACACAGCCATGCAACCAGCCCCAAGAAGAAGGGAGAAATTTGCACCCAATTGAAGCTTGTTGTTCCTCTGCATTTTTAGGCTCATAAAATCTGCTGCCAGAAGATCAACAAGTGCCATGTAAATCAAAATCCCTGCTGCAGCTGCATTAAATACTCCTTCAACAATCAGAGCAGTAGGGCTGTTCTCATCATACACACTTGAAATTCCAATTCCGACTGCAATCCCAACTGGGGTTGTGAGGGAGAAAAATATTGCCATTATTGCCACAGACAAAGACTTGAATTTTGCCTACATCATCAAAACAACCAAACTTTCAATATTATATAAATATGGTGAAATTAAATCAAAAACTGAAAAAAAAAATGATGGCTGTTTTAAATAACTCAACCTTAATTATTAAATGAGAATATAAGTTCAGGTCAAACCTCAAGGTAGGGTTTTTGTCTAAAATCAAGACCTGGCATGTTTGACGCTTGTTGGTTCCAACATGATCCTTTTTCAAGGTTTTTAATTACAATAATGCTAAGCATGGCTTTTCTTAATTTTCAAGTTCAAAAGATTTGGATTTTGTTCATGAGAATCTCGATTCAAAACTAATTAAATAAAGACTTATGCACGGTCTCCATGGTTGTGATATTGGTAGGATACCTGAGCAATGCAGCCACCAAGTCCCATGCCCTCAAAGAACTGATGGAAAGACAAGGCTCCAATCAAAGGCTTTATTGTTTCAACGCTATCTGAGGCGCCCAAAGACACCCCAATAATCACTGAATGAACCAGAATTCCAAGCTCCAAAACCTAAACACAGAATAAAAATTAACCCATCAAATTTAAAAACCCATTTTGCAGAAGTTTAAGCTTTGAAATTATTTGTCGATAATCTCTTTTTTTTATAAGTAAGAGGATCATATGGGACTTGAGAAATCAAAATGAATTGTTTTTTTTTGGGCAATAAAAAAAAAAGGCTTTGAAATTATTCATATGAATTCAATTTATAAAATCATATACTTGGGATATAATTCGGTGTCGTATTAGGTCTGATCTATCTCCATCTGCAGACCCATGAGCATGGCCATGAGTGCCATGCGTATGGACAGGTACATGACCTGCATTGTCATGTCCAGCACCCGATTCCTGATCTGCATTCATATTAGGCTTCTCCATGTGCACCCGCTGGTAAAACCCCGTCGCGAAAGAATCGATCATCAACGTTCCTATGGCGGCCATCATGGCGATGAATCCAGTGAACGGAAAATTGTCCCAGGGATTTGGATTGAGGCAAGGTGAAGTCAAATTCTCAAACGCATCTGGAAGTATGTGGATGAATCCCGTGGAGAGGATAACTCCAGCAGCGAACGCTTTGATCAAGAAGAAAATATCGTTTTCGGGCCGCAGAGCCGGGATGCTCCGCCCCAGCAAAGGGAGGCACACCCCAATTGCACCGGCAGCAAGAATAGCCACAATGGCACCCACCTTGTATTTCCGTGTTTCCGCTCTGCTTCCGTGGGCAGAATTATCCTCTTCACACCCACAGTCGCTGGAGACTAATGCCGGGAATACAAGAATAAGAATAAAACATAATTTCAAGATGCTTTCGGAAGGGAAAAGCAGAAACATTTTCATGGTGTTTTTTTTTTCACTGAATCTCTTACTCTGTTTTACTCTGTGCGACTGAAACAAAATATATAGGGAAAAAAGAATTTGAATTAAAGTAGAATGGAAATTGTGATTTCTAATTACTAGAATTCCAAATCTAAAATAGTTTTGCGATTTTAGGAAGGTGTGTACATGATGTTGTCATGCAAAG